ATTCATCGAGTACTCGAATTTGATCAAGCGCCATGGTTGAAACCGTACATTGATCTAAATACAGAATTGAGAAAGCAATCGAGCAATGAGTTTGAGAAGCATTTCTTCAAGTTGATGAATAATTCAGTTTTCGGAAAAACCATTGAGAATGTCAGGAAACAAAAAGGCGTGAAGGTGGTGACGAAATGGGAAGGACGGTAGGGTGCAAAAGTTCGCATCGCGCAGCCCAACTTCCACAGTTGCACCATCTTCAGTGATGATTTGGTCATTGTTCAATTAGAGCGCACAATGTACTTCAACAAACCCATTTACGTTGGTGTCTCAATTCTGGATCTATCCAAAATATTCATCTATGATTTCCATTATGAGTATGTTAAACAAGTGTACGGTGATAAAGCTAAACTCACGTATACGGATACAGACAGTCTTTTGTATGAGTTCAAAGTACCCGATATTTATGAATGTATGAAACGTGATATTGCTCGATTCGATACCTCCAATTATCCAAGCGATAATGTATATGGAATGCCACTCGTGAATAAGAAATTATTAGGATTTATGAAGGATGAGTGCAATGGGAAGGTAATGAGTGAGTTTGTAGGTTTGAGAGCAAAATTGTTTACCTTCAAAATTCACGGTGATAAGAGGGCGAAGAAGCGTGCGAAAGAAGTGAGAGGGTCGACATTGAAAAGAATCACGTTCGATGATTACAAAGATTGTCTAGAGAATTTTGAACATTTTATCGAGTCCCAGTATTTAATCAAATGTAGTGAGCATGATGTACACCAGAAGAAATTAGCTCTAAGCTGGGAATATGATAAGAGAATACTCTGTAAAAACTCTTATGATACTTTACCTTATGGATATTTACAAATAAATATGGATAAAAATGTGCTTTTGTCTCTTGATAGTATAACCTCATCAATTGTCCTGAACCACTATAATAAGTCAACATAATTATTCCAAAATAGAGTCATTTGAAGATTTAGGTTCCAACTGGTTGAGAACCGCTGTCTAGGCGATTCCAGCTCCGCTTTCGATATATCAGCAAATTTGAAGACTTTTAACTTAATCACATGGTATTGTGATGAAATCTTCCGGTTAATTCATATCAAATAGAACGCTGAAGCTCTAAGTCACTAAGGAAATGCCAAGCTCAAACTGAAAGCTACCGTCCGCAATCCACCCTCCACATACAACTGTACACAAGCCACTGTCCGCAGGCAACTATCCGCAAGCAACTCTCCGCAAGCCACTTTCTGAAATCCACTGTCCACAAGCAACTCTCCTTAAGTCACTAGTTCTCATAAATTAACTGTCAGAACCTTCACAAGTATTAGTCCGATGACCATTGAAATTTATATCCACCTTATACACGGTACAAAACCAAGAGTTTTGGAATGAAAATTTGAAAATGTAACTTATAATATTTTTGGCGGATATTTTCATTCATAGGACTTCTAGACACTTCAAGATTAGATGTCAATTTTTTTCAAATTTTTCGGAGGCTTTATTGCGGTGTAATTTGAAAATCGTAAAAACTGCGGTGCGGCACTCATAGCGCGACTAACTTAGTGTTAAGACATCCGAGCTGGCTGACAGGTGTGAACGCCGCCATCTTGCAAGTCCCTTGGGGTTCAGGGACGAGGTATTCGAGCAAAATGGTGGTACCTAGGCCCGGTAACCACCCTTGTAGTTTTAATCATTTTTGAAAATTATTCATCCTCTTCATAGCACTCTCAACTTGTTTCATAATACTTTCGTTGTGATGAGGATTTAGTTGTGATAATTTTCGAGCCTCAGAATTCAATGAACGCAGAGAATTCAGGGAGCAAAAAATCCTGCTGTCTTGGAATTTACTTTAATCGCAGTTCCAATAGAATTTTGGAGCGACTGCGCTAGCATTTTCAATTGATTTTTTTGAGATGTGATTCTCTCAAAGTTTGCAACGCGTAACATATAAATAAATGCAATCTTTTTTTTTCTCTTTAGGAGCAGTAGATGAATCGTATCATGGCAGAGGTGGGTATTTACACGTCCAAAATGCCCGATAGAGGACCCCTCTCGCGACAGCTTTCGTAGAATCCGGGCAAGAACGCGGATATGATGTCGTCGACTACAATGGACTACGATCAGTTCGAATCTCACCGAGTCAATTCACGTAATGACTCAAAAAAAAAAATTAAATGTATTAAGTTATTAAAATCAAATTCAAGAGTGCATGGTAAGGCATAATTATCAAGCCCTACCAGCACTTAGCATGACCCAGGGTTCGCGACGGGGACGCGGCTGGTATGAACCCCACGCCATTTCACGTTTATGTTAAATTCTACACGTTGCAGTGCTTCAAAAGCATATCTACAGCTCACTCGATCAAATCTAGATATCGTTCCGGAGGCTAGAGGATCGAAAGTACTAATCGTCGAAAACAATCACGCCTATGGAGTGGACTTCATAAAAAATAATAAATCACATCGCGTTAATGCTCGCAAAGAGGTGATTCTGTCAGCTGGCGCAATTGACACAGAAAAACTATTAATACTGTCCGGAATTGGGCCCAAAGATCATTTAGATGAGTTAGGAATCAAAGTTGCTAAGGATGCCAAAGTTGGGTACAATCTCCGTGATCATGTAAGCTTCGGTGGACTTACGTTTTTGGTAAACCAAAATGTCAGTCTGATTACAAAAAACGTTCAAACCCCAGAAGCTGTGCTCCAGTATGCTATTCAAGGAACTGGGCCTTATTCTACTGCTTCTGGCCTCGAGGCAGTCACATTTACTCGGACAACATACGCAACCGATGTTCGACCTGATGCTGAACTGGCCTTCCTTGCGGGAGCATTCCATATAGGTAACGGTGAAACCTTGCCGAAGGCACGTGGTTTAACTCGAGAAATTTATGAAACGGTTTGGAAGCCCATTGAGGGCCAAGATGCCTGGACCATTTGACCAGGCGTACAATTACCTCATAGCAAAGAACGTATTAAATTAAAATCAACGGATATTGAGCATCACCCCGTAGTCGATCCCAACCTTTTGGATGATCAAACTGATGTGGCAATTCTTCTCGAGGCTGTGAACCTCTCAATAAAATTGTCCATATCGACAGTTTCTCTACAATATGGCACTAAAATCCATGATATAAAAATTCCTGGATGCGAGGCATTAGAATCCATTTCGGATGATTACTGATGTTGTGCGATTCGCCACGTAACAGTTGTCTTCAATCACGATATGGCCAAAATGGGACCATCGACCGACTCTGATGCTGGTGTTGATCCTGAATTAAGTCATTGATGCTTCTATAATGCCGGATATGCCGATGGGTCATTTGACAGCAACAATTTACATGATTGCAGAAAAAGGTGCTGATAAGATTAAGAAATTATGGTAGTTTACTGAGCATGATCAATCATTCTTTTACATATTGCATATGACCTATTATTATCAAGAATTTAAAATCTTCAATCATAAAAATTGAGATCAATTCAATTTTGAGCCAATTTTTTCATCGATAAACGTTTTCAATTTGGAACCGAAAAAGAATTTTTTTTCAACAATAATAAGTTGGTTTTATTTTTCTACACTACAAAAACAAACACACCATCTATCATTATTATCTAGTATTGTGTTGTTTTGTTCACTCTAGAGGGAACTGTTCAATCTGATTTCGTAATTTTGATTCGAGGTTTTTTTTATCACTTTTTGCGTATATTTTCATCTCATTTTTTTAAATCTGATCCTTTATTTTTGCTGTCTTATGAGAAATACTTTGGAAAGTGATTTTGTAAATCATTCTGTAAAAGGAACGTCTCGTTTACCGGTAAATGAACTCGGGGTAACGCGGTCCCGATTATTGTTAGAGCTAGTACTACAAGTGATAATAAACTGTAATAAATGTGGCAAGAGAGAACTGTGTGAATTACTCGTTTTCTCAATTGTGGGACACATCTCAGCACGTATTTCCCAATAGATTTGACTGTAAAATTCCCCTCGTAAGCGTTCATCTATTGAATTTCTGTTGGAAATTCCATTAGTTTGTTGATTGCTATTCATAATGCAGTACATTCTCCTGTTCTATTCATATGTCGTGTATGAAAATCCCTGGGCATAAAGCTTCCAATGTTTCTTCTTGAATTTTTTATTGCGACTCAAAAGAAATCGCAGTGACAAAAAAATCAATGCTCAGAGATTTTTATAGAAAAAACATGAACAAACGAGATTGAGTGGAAAAATCTAAGAATGTCGATATTTTTCAGGCGCCTTTTGAGAGTATTTGTATCGAAATTTCGCGTAAAAACAACATTTTTTAGGAAGACCAGTAATAAAACTGATAGAATTTCTAATAGATTTTCTACGCAATTTTTCGTTTTTCTCATAATTTTTTTCATAAGAAATGCATGGCAGCTTGCCAGACGTATACTCGAGAGAAATTTGGATGTTTTCTTTAGTCAATAGTATTATTTTCAAAGATTTCCAAGATGTCCGAAATAAAACTACAAGTCCTTTGAATCCGACGATTTTGTTGGTGAAATTGTACAGAATATCACACATTGGTCTCATCAATAACCTTACCCTTTTGTACCACTCCATCCATCAATTTTAAATAAATAACAGCTTAAAAATGGAGGTGTCCCGCTTATGATGAAAAGCGATTATTCAACAGGAAGTACTGCATCCAGGAAATGTCGTATCCAAAAAGCAATTCTGGACAACTTGGCACGCGTTTCAAGCGATCGGTATTCCCGTGGGTGTAGATTCAGGTCCCACGAAAATTTGTAAATTTGACCCGAGAATTCTTAAGAGCGATTCACGTAATATTTCCGCAATCTCCAGTGGTATATTTTATCTGGAGTTTCCGGTCTATTTTTGGCCTTTTGGGATTTAATTCATCTGCATCAGATGGAGTTGAGTGGCATGAGGGAGTATTAATAGAAGGGTGGAGGTGAATTAGCAATGTGTGTTTTGGTTCCTGATGGAGATCCATCATCGTCGTAGCGTGCAGGACGTTTGCCGTCACGGTTTATTGGATCGGACGCGGACGTTTCTCCTCCTATTAACTTCGAAGGCTTTCAGTTGAGAGTTTAGTGCACGGCGGGATACTAATTATGCTTGTGAAATATCGATGGTAAGTGAGGAAGCGAATAGAAATGGCAGAATTATTCATTACGGTGGGTATCTTTGGGTGGTTTGAATAGGTACGTGGCTATTTCTGTATCAGATGGGTCATTCTGGAGCATTAGTGGATTCGGTGGTCAGTTCAGTTATCTGGAGAAGTCATTCGCAGCAATTGCAAGTGTCTCAAGCCATGGAAGCCATCAAAAGATGTTTCTAAAACAACGTGTCACTGATGCAGTGGGTAAGTTCATCATCTCATATGTCGAAGATCCCGAGTTCAGTTCTCGACAAGAATGGCAATCATTTGAAGTCATGGTCAAATACGGAGGATACATAAAAGAAATAAAGTCAGTGTACAAAATGAGAGTGAGTCAACAGCAAGAATAATCAGAGTGCACCTCTTGCAAGATAACAGACGAAGTTGTATAGTTGAATATAATATTCTGAGTAATGCAAATATCTGGTTCTTTCAATGTGATAAATATCATATTCTGATTTGATAATTTAAAAAATATCACAATTTCGATTTTTCGATCCCTTTGGCCATTGTAATCCCATAACCTGTAAAATTTCTTCAACTTCCGTGAGAAAAAATTAAGACAAACTCTCTACACTAAGAAAACAATTTCTTTTTAGAACTTTACTTGTATCAAGAAACTCATAGCTCGAAAATTGTCAAGAGCAAAACATCTGACATTGATAAACAAAAACTTTAAGCCAAGCAATTTCGTACATAACAAAAAGATAAGGGCGATTTGTTTATAATCAGAAAGTGAGTTCTCAAACCAATTCAAGTGATTTTTACATTAAATCATTTGAAATTTGAGGCTAAAAACTATTGAATGAATTAATTCAACATTACTTGGTTTGAAAAATCGCTTTCTTTTCATAGAGAAATTGTCCTCGTCTTTCGGACCAAAATATCTTGACGAAAGTTTTTTTTTCTTCGTGCAAAATATTTCGCACTTGGTAATTCTTCGAGCCACGAGTTTCTTCATACAAACAAAGACGAACTTGCCAAAAAACTTTCCTTTCTCAGTGTAGAAAATGAATCGAGATATGCGGCAGCGTATCGGCCAAGAAAGTTTTGACACCGACTGTACAAAATATCTGGCTGAGCGCACCGCGTATCTATACACGACAGAACTTCCACTACCTCTAAATGATCGACATTTATTATAGTAAAAACGGGACGACAAATCGGAAAATTGTCCTTAGTTACATTATATAAAATGCCTATGAGCTTTTCAGCGGTGTAATTATTGTATTTTTTGACTTAACAGTAAAAAAGATACACACATAGCAACGAGCTGATATTCACATTCTCGCGATGCACATTATAAAGTCAGAGAATCAAGTTACAACGTTGGCAGCGCCTGTCCAACTGAGTCTCACATCCATCGTCGAAGTGTTGCCACCAGTGTATTTAAATGTGGGTTGTGATGTTCTTTGTATTTTTTTAAAATTACAGATTACATTGAAGTATTTATCATTATGTTGAGTTACAATTCTCCCTTCCATGCATTTTCAACTCATTAAAGAAGAATGATTACTCCGAACTATTTTTTAAGCCCATTTGTTTTTTGAACCAGAAAAAGAAATAATATTTTAAACGTATTTAAATGAATGAAGCATAAAGAACTCGAGTTGAGGACAGGTGCCAAGTTTCTCTCATTTATTTTTCCCTCACCACTTGCACATCTGTCCTTCCTCCACATTTTTCTCGGTGCATTGCGCTATTTCTGCCAGGTGGCCCGCTAAAGCTGAACTTCGCCATTTTGCTTACTCGACGTTTTTGGTTCAAGATTAATTAAACGCGCCTGGAAATAGTTGGTAACGTCTCACCGATACACCAACACCAACTAGTGGCATCTCTACTCCTTCGGTTGTCTTCTTGGTAATACTAATTTGCCGTGAATGTATTAGCGATGGGGTATACCTAGCACACGTGATGTCGATTTTTCCTAATGGCAGCTAAGGCGTTTTGTAAGAGAGAAAATCAAGACGTACTTTGGTGGTGAAAATGGGCTGAGGGGCTAAGGACATGACATTAGAGTGATGGTGGTTGACTTGACTAGGTTTTAGAATGAGTTATGACACTAGGAATCACGGGCCTGAGTCATGTTTGTGGTGAATGGACAAGAGGGTTCATTCATAGGCGATGGTCATTCTAGATTCAATTTTACTACGAATGGTTTTCATTATCGTAAAGTGCACAATTAAAACTAATCGTAATGAAAGGAACACTTGATATTAGCAACTGCGGTTTTATAGTAGTATCTCAATCTCATGAAAATAGGTTATTGATTGCAGGATATTTGACAATTCTTCAATAGAGTGGATACTCCCCAAGACTTCAACTTCCGGGTTACGAGTTTTACGAATTTAAATGATTGGGAAGCCCCTACTCATACGTCGACGGTTTGATAGAAAAACAAAAGGAACGGAGAGAGAATCTGTCTGTTCCAATCTTTCCGTATCGCCAATGATCCTACTACCCACATATGTTGCGCAGAGGAGCCCACACACGCTTAGATTGTTAACCCTTTGGTTCATCTCACGGTACCCCACTTTTCGCCGTTTTGTAGTGGTGCGCGTGCGCCAGCGTGCTTCTCTTATGGGGTACTAAACTCGGACGGACCCCCCACTCCTCTCACACGCGAAGCAATGGGTTAATGGTGGGGGAAGTTGACTTCTTTAAGCGAAATTTTAGAGAAGCGAAATCATAGGCAGTATCCACTGTATAAACACATGAAGATGTAGAATGTAATGATCTTATCAAATCTGTTCTGAAATTATCATATTTCCAGAAACGTTTTTCCTTACTGCTTCTTACGATTCCTCGCCTGGAAATAGGTATTGCATACTTTACAAACTCGAGAACTTGATGAGAATTATAATAGAAATATCTCATCCTGAAATCCGATGGGACTTCTGAGACTACTGTGACGGATTGCTTTTACTCATGTGCTTGGTTAGGCCTCGTCTTCTCGGCTTGGACTAGAGATGCGAAATAACCGTCATGTGACGTCACAAATTTTCTAACTACAAATAATTTTTAAACAAATTGCTATCAGTCGATCTATATATAGATCCATAGTGACGATCATGAGTAAAAATAGTTTTATCTATATAGAAAAATTGGAGTTTTGTAATAAAACCTAAAAAGAGAATTGGTCATCCAGGTAGAAATGCCCAGCTTCCACAATGGATTTATACTTGCTACAACCTTGGTCCACCAAACCATAGTAGACCCAGCTTGGGCTATGCTTAAATGCATTGATGTATCTGGATGAATTCAAGCTTGGTAAGTTAAGCTTGAACTCTGGACTTTCAACCAAGCTTGGTTCCAAATTTCTATTTAGATGGATCGAAGCTTGATGGTACTGAGCAATTTCACAGTTGGACTCTAAGACTGAACCAGCTATGGCTCAAGTTTGGTATTCAAGCTTGAACTGAGAACATTAAACCAAGATTGACCACAATTTGTGTTTAACTGAATCCGAGTCTGGTGGCATTGACTAATTTCTAGCTTGGACTCCAAGCTTGGCATCCAAGCTGGAACAAAGAGCGTCCAAGGAAGTTTGCCCTAAAAATTTCATCCAGCTAAATTCAAGCATAGTAGGAGCCGTAATATAGAGAGGGCGGCTTTTGTCTATGCAGAGATTAAATTATTATGAAAATAATTTTGCGTTTAATGATTAAGTTAACCGAGGCGTTACTGAAGTTCTTGAAAAAGTGATCAACCAGTGCTCATGATAATTCTAGCCCAGGAAGGGTGTCATTGGTTAAGTTTACTAATTTACAAATCGTCAACTAGCACTCGGAACCATAAGTTGAAGAAGATCTTTCGAGTCAGAATTTTACTCTCGTCTATCTTTTAAAATTTCGGACAAATATTTTGGAACACCCTGTTGAATAGCATATTGTTCACATTACTAATAAACATCACATATTTTGTCAAATGGTAACGAATGGAAAGAAGTTATGAATAATATATTTTTCATATCTTCATTTTCCAGTATTCGTTATCAAATATTCATGCAAATAAACTACTCGAAAAATGACAAATGAAAAAAACACTAATCAAATAAATTAATAATGCAATTGAGCTGAAAAAATATGAGGTTAAAGACATATCCAGGTGAACTTCAAACGAACAATGCGCAGTATGAACAAATGTTAGTTTCAGATTCATTTCAGACCAGACAATTAGCGATTATTTTCTCAATTTTGATTTCGAGTGCAGTGAATTCCAAGTCATGCAACACGTTGTACACTGATTGTTTTCTCCTCTCAAGTCTCAACATACGCTGTACAAGGAAAAGGTATGAAATTCATGTAAACACTTGAAACTTCCATATTTTATCTTTTTTGATGTGCTGACACCGAATTTGTAAGTTAGCACGCAATACAGTCATGCCCTCAATAGTTATTAACAATTTCATTATTACAGCAATCGATATCAATATCAAAAAATGTTTCAAGCAAAGATTCCTTCAAAGACAACGAACGAAATTGATTTCGATTTTTGGAAATTTGCCAATTTTTGCGGAAGATATGATAGTTTGCAACAACTGAATGTTGGTGACCATTCCACGTGTCACTGGCAAAATCCCCGCCCAATTGTTGAAAACTGTTATATCTTCCGCGAAAACTGACCAATTTCCAAAAATCAAAATTCATTTTATTTTTCAAAGTTCAAGGAATATTGTTTCTTTGAAGCATTTTTTGATAGCTATCAAAATGGCGGCGTTAAACGGAGTTAAATTATTAAATTGTTAATAACTATTCACTGCATGACTATATTGCATGTTAACTTACAAATTTGGCTTCAGCACATCAAGGAACATAGAATATGTAAGTTTCATGTGTTCACATGAATTAGGTGAGAGTATTGATTGTCCACTCAGAAAACATTGATAGCAACCATATTGCATATAGTATAAACTAATAAATAGCAATAATAACATAACCAGTTATACTGATTGGGATTGGGACCAGTTTTTGCTTCCGAACGGAAGCATTGCAATCCTTCGATTTTCACATTATCTAATTTTGATTGGAAATGATGTAAAATAGTCTGAAGCGTACAAATACGAAGTTTGGGAACATGTCTGTATGTGACCACGTCCACGGCGCCCTTCCCGGTGGTAAATTTTTCGAAAAATGAAGAATTACGTGGCTAAAGTAATTCCAAAATATGTGAAATTTTGTCAGATTATAGGCCTTAATGAGGTCTAACTCTCTGCAAAACTTCAGCTTGATCGATCTGATAGTTTTGAAGAAAAAGCGATTCGTTTTTGAATCGTTTTCCGCAAGTATCTTCAAAACTGGTGGACCGATTTCGATTTTTTTGTTTTAAAAATATTCGTTTTGATGCCGTCTATCTAAATCAATCAAAACATACATACCAGTTCATACAAAGTTTCCGAGATATTTCCGCTTTTCCGTTTTTTCATTCAAAAAAACTTTGTAAACATTCTAGCTTGTGCAAAAATTAAGATATCAGCTTTCAATTTGAACAGAAAATATGTATACCCGCTCATACGACGTATTCAAAACATTGGAATTTTGATAGCACCCATGAAGGTGGCAGTAACCTTCGGAAATTTTTACTGCTAGTTAGTGTTGTGAAGGTATGAACTTTTATAATATTTCAGACAATTCGGAAGCCCGCCATCAATGTATTGATGGCGAGAAAAAAATAAGACATGACTCAGTGACATGCGTACTATCACATAGCATGGTGTCATATGCTCGCTGTCTCCTGCTTGTTTGTATGAAATCATTCTACGTTGAGAAGAAAATGAAGTTCTGAAACAAGTCTAGGTTGGGCTAACAAAATCGTTAGTTGAAAATTACCAAAAAAATAAATGTTTGGTTCAAATTTGAAAGTCTCATATATCAATAACACAGTCCGACAAAATTTCGACCCTGGCTCTCGCAGAGATGAAATTGCTCGCGTTAGAAAGATTAAATTCCGCAGATTCTGAATTCGTCGACAAAATTTCGCTAGGCCTTCTAGTTTTGGAGAAAAAAAAGTTAAAGTTCCCAAAAAGCCGTAAAACCGTTAAATTGTAAATTCAATAAAAAAATAACGCGTGCACCAATTGGCCTGAAATAAAATTTGAAGAAATGAGGGAATCGAGATTTGTGAATGGACGGACAGTTTGCTGTAATTGAAACACGGGATAATTTGCAAAAAATTCAGGAAGTAGGCATTGAAAATTACATTTAACCCTCAAAAAGAATCATTGATCTAAGGTCTGAAGTTGCACCACCCACGTGTGATTCCTAATGTCAAATTTTGAGGGTTATCCACTCAGTTTGAACAGTTTTAATTTAAAGTCAATCAATTGGACTATACCACCTGTTGTACTAGCGATTGCTGAACTTGAGGCAATGGGGTATCTTGCTGCTCGTGGCAAGACTCAGCCTGATCTTTGGGAGAATGAGTTATGCTGGTATTGCAACTAGAATGGACTGATGTGGCGAGCAATTAGTGGATAATAGCATTCTTTACATCCAGGTACTGCCT